GTGCCCCATCCACTTTCCACCCACACACAAAATGTCAGAGAATATCTTGAGCAGTATATATTGTAAGCAGCATTTCTATGCGAGTATAAGAGTATATGTATATATATATTTATGTATATATAAGTGTATATGTACTGTGTGTGTATTTGACTTGTGGCATATCGAATTCAGATCTTAATCCAGTCAGCATTTGCATGCAAATGTGTGCCGCAGACTGAAACTGAAATGAAAATGTTTCTTAACAATATTCGTTCCGATTTGATTTGCCGACTCTCTAGCGCTGTTTGATTTGGCCTATTAGAATATGCTACAGATATATCCAACAGGAGTGCAGGGTTCACAGGGGTTCACTCTGGGTAGGTAGACTCTGGGTAGGTAGACTCTGGGTAGGTAGACTCTGGGTAGGTTTGTATGTCAATTGCTTGATGTGGAAAAAATCAATAGTATAAGCCTTTCCGGGAAGCAATATTGTCATCTGATTAAAAATGCATATTTTCCATGTTAAAGTCCGGTTGTTGTTGTTGTACGTACGGAGGGAGCCGCCGGATGGGCCCGCACGGCCCGAATGTCACGCACTGTCTATTTGTGCACAGTGCGTGGCACAACTGTAGGGACTGTATTATTGGCTGGCGTAGGTAAGCCAAATGGAAGGCTTATGGAGCCTTCCCTTTTTTTTGAGGCGATTGCCTGAACATAAGCCCTGTACTTATATTGCTGAAACGCACTGCCAGTTGGCAATGTGAATGACCAACAGCCCAACATGCAAATACGTGCAACACCACACACTCCGACTGCTGTTTTCTTGAGCGAGAGAGCGAGCGAGTGCTTCGTGTGCGCCCGATTCGTTGCATGCCACAGCGACTTGGGCTTGCCATAATTCATATTTCATATTTCAGCTGTAGCGTACTCCGCCCGCTGATGTTTATTAATGTTTATTTGTCGTGGTGTTTATTTAAGCAATTATTGCTATTCAGTCATGTCAGCCAGCCAGCAAGCAGGCAGCCAACAGGCAGGCAACAGCCAGCAAGCAGGCAGCCAACAGGCAGGCAGGCAGGCAGGCAACTTGCATGTGGGCGTGGCTGAAATGCTAATTAGATTCTGCAGCTGAATGAATGGAGAAAGGAAGAAGCACGAGCGGACGACAACTATTAAATGGCCATAAATTGAAAATTAATTGAATTTGCGAATGAAAATGAAAAGGAAATATTGCTCTGACATGCGAATCAACTGTCAATTAATGTTGTTACCCGCCAAATGTTGTTGCGCTTTCCATTAAGTAAGTCAACTGGCGCGGCTAATAAATGCCGATGATCCGCATCCGCGTCCAATCCGAGTTGAGGCCGCTAAGCGCATTATATGAAAATATTTCCCTGTTTTTTTCTTCTTTTTTTTTTGTATTTGTTTTGTCTGTTTTTTTTTCCATTTTTAACAAGTGTCCATAAAAACCCGCTTATAAATGAATACGTAAACATGATAAATGTTCAGTGGAAAGGTCTGGGGCGGGCAGAATTTTGTTGTTTTTTTTGTGGTAAAAATATTTGCGCAATTCACACATCAAACGAGTGGAAAGTTATTCTCTTTTTTCCTGTTTTTCCCATTGAGAGATTTTTCTGTTTGATGTTGTTCAGAGGCGGAAATTGCACAAATTGTAGCGCCGCCACTTGCCGGCCACTTTGCCACCCATTAATCCCCCCCGACTCATCGCTTAGATAGCAAACTGTTTTTTTCTTTGTGTGTGTTTTCTGTGTGTATGTTGTGGCATCCATTGGCCAGGCCTTAATTGAATTATGTTTGCCGCACAATTGGCCGTGTGGCCAGGGAAAACAAACCAAAAGAAACCAAATTAAAAGCGAACATTGAACAGTTTTGATTATTGGCTTAGAAATTAAAAATGTATGATGCACAAACACTCTACACCATACCAAGGGCAATCCACTCATCCCCTAAAAACCATAAATTCAACCTCAAAATTTCCATTGAAATGTGGATAAAAATTAACAAAAATCGCATGCACAAATGAACTGCACAAACAGCGCAACAAAAAACACAACTAAATTAAATCAAGTGGAATCGCATTTCAAACGAAACAATTAAATCAGAAATTAATCGGAAACCAAACCCCAACCCCCCGGTGTGTGCTCACACTCTTTTGGAAAATTCTTCGTGCAAATGAAATGAATTCATAATCAATTGGAGCACATAAATAATGGATATGTATAAGCAATATGCAAATACAAAAAGGAAACGGGGCAAAATTCCATTAAGAAAGTTTCAATATTTATGGTGCAGCCAGCACTTTAAGGCTAAGCTAGAAACGGCAAATTAAATTGTATTTATACTATAAAAAATGGGGAGAGTATTCAAAATTCTCAAACATCAGATTATATAGCATTATATAGCCAACTGTCATGTGGCCTTCTACATTTCTGATTGCCCTGGCATAACCCTAATCACTCCTCCATTAGCTGACACTGCCTGACCCTCGCACAGCTACAGTCACAACCACTTCGGAATTCCACTGGCTATCTGGCTGTTGAGATCAATGTTTTATTCATTCCGTTGATGACCCACCCGCACATAAGCAGCTCCGAGCAGCTCATTACAAACAATCAAATGCCAATACGAGCTATAGCTAAAATTACACAGACCACAGGGCTTATGCGAGTGGTTAAGGCCGTAAAAGTAAATAGTCCCACAAGCCCAAGCAAACAAACAAACAAACATAATATATACCATGCGTTCCATGCTATATATAGTGCCAAAAATAAATGAAACAGTAAAACTTAATTTGGTGTTTATGCCAAAAGGAACGGGACGCGCTCTAATGACAACCGCCCAACAACAGCCATATCCTTTGTCTTTTGTGTGGGGTCCAATCTCCTTGGAGGATTAATAAGGCACTGGGATCGCTAATGAACTGTGCCAGCCGCACTCGCACTCGCAGTCTCTGGCAATGAGCTTAAGTCCTGGCCTACGCTGCGTATGTGTGATGTTCGTACGCTGATTGTCAAATGCCTTCTGGCAATTGTTTTGTTTTGTTTGGCCAAAAGTGCCGCTCTCTTGGCCCCATAAAAAATAATGAAGAAAAATAACTTAAAGCGACGGACTATAAAATAAATGATCCGGCAATGGTTGACGCTTCGGTTCGGTTCTCCGAACATCTCCTCCGGCGTAGAGCAAACACATTCGTAAATTGTGTGGAAATTTGCGGCCAAAATGCCCATGGCCTGCGGTCATAGGAATATGTGTATATATCTGCTTACATCTGCTGTATGGCTGTGCATATTTGTCGGTCATTTGCATTTGGGTTGACAGACAGACAGACGATACCCCAAGCACGGATCGGGCTGGAAGTTTTGCCTCAAAGCCCCATTTATTATGCTCCCATGTATGGTGGTGGTTGACATTTGCTGGGAAAGTGGCCAAGTCTCTTGTTTGGGGAATTCTCGCATCGCATCGCATCGCAAAACCCCACCCATCAAGGACAAATAAATCAAAGCCTACTTTGCCATTTTATTGGAATTTTTGGCCAAATTTTATTTCCCCCCCCATCTGCCGCCCCATTCCGTGGATCCACGCAAAATATCATCAAATGGATTTGTATTTTTAGCGCAAATTGCATAAATCAAAAGTTTTGCTTTGTCCAAATTTTGTGTGTTGTTTTTAGTCTGGTTTTTGTCGCTTTTTTTCCGGGCAACAACAAAAGTTTTGATTGCCTTTTTGGATGCGTATATGTATGTACAAGTCCGTGGCCTACGCATAGTCCGCCTCGGAGTCCTTCGAAACACTTCAAACATTCAGAATGCGGCCAGAATGGGCCATGCCAAGACGAAGGCGAAGAAAAGCAAAGGCCATGGACAGAGAGGGCGGCTACTTTTCATATTCCGCATGTTCTGCCAGCTGTAAGCCGCTTTGTGACTTATGAATCATAATTAAATAAATTTCCATTTAGCCTGTTGACACATCTGAGTGCTCATTAAACATTCAGAATGGCCAAACACCCGCGCGTGGCAATATCTTTGAGCACGCTTCGCATAATTTATGCTCGTTTTGCAACTAAAATCGCATTAACTTGTTTAAAATTCAGCCACAAATTCTATATTTTGGCCAATTCGTGTCACTAGGCCACAAAATCATCAAATCATTTCCACAATCAAATTTGTGAAGCGTTTTAGAGACACAGCCACAGCCACAGCCTGCCTGATGGACAGACAGACGACCAGTCTATTGAAAACATAATATAAGAGCACTCAAAAGGAGCTGACGCTTATCGGTATTAAAGTTACAAATTAGCTCAAATATATACATAATCTATTTTATCCATTTATCAACTTGCTTTCGAGCTTTAGTTAATTTAAACAATTTCCGTGTGGGCAAATTCAACAGAAGAAACATTATTTTATTGCTCAGATATATATATTTGATACACAGAAAAGACAAATTGGAAAATTCAAATAATATTAATTTGTTCTGAAAAAATAATTCTATTTAATTTAATTATGAGCCACAGTACGGGGGAAATAGAGAAGTTGCCTGCCTAGAGGCACCAGATAATTCTACACTGCTTGTAGATGAATAATTTATTTTTTACAGATATCGTTTCTCTCCCAAACAAGTTATCAAGGGTAAAATGTGCTTCCCTAATAAGCCAATTACCAAAACTATCCCAAATATCCGCCTAGCCAATTAAAAATCAACCAACTAAAACGAATGATGAGCCAAACAACAAACAGCAACCCTTCCCATCCATCCATCCCATCCAGAACGAACAAAAACTGGTCCTGCTGCTGATGCTGTTGCTGGTCATGTTCCTGGTATGTGTCCATAATTTATGTGACTCTCACAGCTCATATAATTTTATATTTCACTTTTATTTATGCTCCACGCATTCATGATTTTATGAGCAGCTCAAAATATGTGTTGGCCCTATTAGTTTTACACGCTTTTAATGAACGCCCCAGCCCAGCAACAACAAACAACAAACAACAACAACCAGAGTGATTTTCATATTACGTCAAAATGAACAAGAGAAATTCGCAAAACATAATTAGCAAAAAATATATGTGTGGTTGGTGTATTTTCCATAGAAATAAGTTTACAATGTTACCAGTTTTAGTTGAATTTTAATTAAGTCACAATGGATGTGCTGTGGACCCCCGCATTAGGATGAAATTAATTATGGCGACAACAACAAAACAAAAACAAACAAAAAAATCGCTGCTATTTTTTACTTTTTGCTGCTTTAATGAGCCTCAGATTTGACAAAGTTACGGCATATTAAACGCATAGAAGTGGCAGCAGCAGCAGCAGCAGCAGAGACGCTCCACAATCGGTGGAGCACCAAAAATATAAACGGCAGGGGAGGACAAAACATTTTCTATGTTTTTTCTTCTATTTTTTTTTTTTTTTTTTGCAGGGCCCCAACATTATTAATAGGCACTTAGAGTGTGTGTGGGGGTGGCAGAATGGGTGTATTACGAGCTGATGAAGACACGTTCTTACACATTTTGTATATTGACGTTAAAATTAGATGCCAACTTGTCTCCTCGAGTCGCGTCGCGTTGCGTTGCGTCGCGACGCGTCGCCTCGTTTGTGCCACAAAACAACGCGTATCATATTTTAGATGCTGATGAAGATGATGATGGGGATGGGGATGGGGCTGGTGCTGGGGCTGGGACTGGTGGTCTGTGGATGGATATAGGCTGGCGAATGGAATGGGTGATGGGAATGTTGCAGGTGATGTCTGCCAGGGTGATGATATATGACCACCACGTATTCTGACACAAATCAACATGTTAAATAGACTGTGAGTGTGTGTGCCACCTTCCACCTTCCACCGTCCCCTCCCCAATGTTCATACCCTCGAACGCCTCTTTTAGCCCCACGAATGGCGGGTGGTGGTGCCCTCCATGGGCACTACATCCGGATACTGCTCCCCAGTGCGGCACAACGAGGGATACTTGGAATCGGTGCCCGACTGGCAGCTGAGGGCCTTCACCCGATAGATGGGACGATCCACCGCACAGTTGCTGGCATAGTTGCAGGCCAGCAGGAAGTTGTGCTCCGCCTGACGACGCACAAACCTCAGTGCGGCACAACCCACAAAGCTATTGTTGTCCCGGGCCATCACAGCAAAGTTACGCACGGCACTGGGGGGAGGAAAGAAGCAGACGAAGAAGAAGAGTGCTCCAATCAGTGATCGGCGCACAAGTTAAGTTATATAGTTTTGGATCACCCACACTCCCAGCTTGGCCTTGGGGAACTTCTGCACTCGATCGGCGGTCACATTGGCAATCTGGGACCACCACTGCGCGATGGAATCCTTGATCAAAACCTCATCCGTGCGATTCTCCGCGGGCAGGCTGGCGTTCACATGGATCAGGGCCATGTTCTGTCCAGAGTTCGGAAAGTCCCTGGTGTTGAGGCAGGGCTCGTGCAGCAGCGCACAATGCTTGACACTGACTGTGGCAAGATACTCCAGCTCGGCATGCCACTGCAGTGTGGCCATGCGATCGGGCATGGGCAGCAGATCGCTGCTGACCTTTCCAGCTGCGAGGGCATTCCGCAGCGAGTTGTGCTCGCTGAGGATCAGGCCCTGATAGTCGCTTAGATTGAGCAACTCTGTGGCATTCGGCGGACACTGGCTGCCAAAGTGCTAAAAGAGGTTTTGCTTATGGCAGATCTTGCCGTGAATCCCTTATGTAGCACTTACTCCATTGCTCCTGCAGGCAATGTGCTGCTTCATTCGGGGACACAAGCCCTCCTGGCAGTAGTCTGTCGGGATGGTGCTGCTGTTGGACAGCGTCTGGGCATGGCCACCTTGAAGAAGGCACAGCCACAGGCACAGCCCACCGAGAACGAATGGCAATGCTACGTACATGCTGCTGGACACAGGCTTTGACTGCCAGTTTGCCACTTGATTTACCCTTTTATACTGGGGCTTGGGCAGTGGATTGGACAACTGCTTTCCAATCGGGCACTTATTTGGCCCAGCTGTTTTAGCAGCCTGACTCACAGAGAGAGAGAGAGAGGGACTAAGAGTGGATCTAAGCCCCGACGGCACCCAGAAATCCATTTCGGGTGGGGGAAATGGGATTTGCTGACACTTGCCTCGAGACTATTAATGCCATTGGCAGGTACACAAGTTGGTAGCCTCAGCTGCAGCCTTCCATCCTCTTTGCTGCCATGCACAGACTTATGCCACTTGACATATTATCCTAGTTGCACCCCCACACACCCCACCCCAAAAGGGAAGGGAATCAGAGAATCGAAGCAGCATAGAAGTCGAAAGGAAAACGAATCCTTAAATGTGAAAAATTCCTTTCATAGTGCAATTTAAACTGCAAACAAACCGAAAGCAGCAGGCAGCAGGCAGCAAGGCAGGGGACGAGGAATCTCGGCTCCAGCTATTCACACAGATCCGATCCAACAAGAAAAGGAGGCACAAAAAAAAAAAACGAGGAATGAAGCAAAGAATATACGAGAAAAAAACAGAGACAAAGACAGCGAGAGACAGAGAGAGAGAGAGAGAAAATGACGCCATGTCCTTGTCGTTCATTTACGTACCTCAATTGAAATAGTTTTCTCCTCGGCAGCAAACTGTTTGTGGGCGGGTGTCTTCTGTCTCTGGTGCAACAGTTTTTCCCTTTCATTACAGGAGGCAACAAAAACGCAAACGAGGGCTGTATGAAAAGTTATTGGATGTTTGGATGTGGGCGGGAACGAAGAAGGGATTCTCCTGGTCAATGCTGCTCGGCCACTTTGCTGCCCAACAACTTATGCGGCAACCCTTGACCCCATAATATCTCATTCTCTTTCACCGTAACCATTTCTCGTTCCTCTTGCTTCCCCTCTCTCTCTCTCTCTCTCTCTCTCGCTCTTTATCCGCATTGTAAGTGCAACACGCAGTGACAGTTCGCAGGAGACAAAAGTAAGCCAAGTCCAAGTGCAAGAGGACTGCCGTGGGAGGCCTCCAGTTTCTGCTCCAGCAACTGGGCAACAAAAGACTCCTTGCTGCCTTTTAGCAAACACATTTAAGCATTATTATTTATTATTACTATTACCATTGCTGCTGCTTTTGTTGGCCAATTTCATTTTATGCTTCCAAGGAACGATAGAGAAAAATGCAAAGAAAAGCGCAACATAAAAGGAGACAAGCAGAACGAAGAACGGAGAGCAGCTGGCTGCCTCAGCAGGAGAGAGGCAGGACTAAATCCACTAGCCCAAAAGAGTGTGGGGGTGGGTGGGGCACAAACAGGAGAAGGTCAGCAACAGCTTCAGTTGCCACCCACAGTTAACAACTACAGGGGGGCCCCAGCCCACCCCCTGCTCGGGGCCAGGTAAAGTATCGGCTTACACTTGCTTTTCACTTAATTGGATTTGCCTTGGCAGCGTCTCGCTGTCTCGCTGACTCCCCCCCATGCCGCATCCGAGGCTAATAATTGCACTTTGTAATTATTTTTATGCCCCTTAATTTTGCTGCACCCGTGCAAAGGGGCCGTGCGCACCCCTTTCGCTGTTCTGTTTTGCTGCTTTTGAGCCGGGCTTAAGGAAGCGACAGCCAAGTACTTGCTAAATGTCAATTGCGAATTAAAACTTTCCAAGGGCTTACGAACGATGGGAGCGATGGGATCCCTGAACGCCTTAAAGGGCATTGTGTGTGCGAAACAATTTCAATTTGGTTTAATTTCCTTGCACACCAGAATTTATTCAGTCCGTCCGCCCATCGATTGGGCGTGTGGTGTGGGTTGGGGGGGTTTTCTTTTGATTGGCAGAAATTGGTGGCAGAGGGTGTCAGTGGGGGGGCTTCGGGGAGATTGTGTGTGCCAGAGTGTTGCCACCGCAGCAGGAAATTGAAATTTTCACACACGCCCACACACACACACACACGCCACCACACACACACATTTGAAAGGGGGAAAAGAACAGAACTTTTGCTTCCTTTTGGGGCACTTTGAAACATTTATTTTGAATATTTTAAGTACAAATTTAAATGTTAAGAGCTCTCTATTCCTTTTGGGAAGTCGTATGAAAATGTTTCGACTATGGCATACCCCTTAATCAGATGGTAATTTGGATGTTCTTTACAGTTCGTGTGACAGTTCGAAGTCTCCAATGGAGCATAAAATAAGATACTTTGTATCCACTTGCCTGCAAGCCAGTACTACGGGTGGCCGGGCTCCGGAGAATGTCATTTACACGCCACACACACACAGTCACAGACAGACAAAGTCTGTGCAGTGCTCTCAACTCAATTCGCAGCTAGACCACTCTCGGACTCGACTTGGGGCATGCTGCAAGCTGTCACTTAAAATGCCCGTCTCCACTCAATTCGAATGTCACATCGAAGGGAGTCTCACTTGGAGCTTCAGTTTGTGTCACGCATTATTAACACACGCCCGGACAGGCAGAAGGACAGACAGCCAGGCAGACAGGCAGCCAGGCAGACAGGCAGAACGGTTGCTGTGTCCGTGCCACATGCCCATAACCAGTTCGACAAATGCAATGTGAACGTGAACGTGGCGTATGCGCAATGCACTGGAAGGCGAGTGTCCTGTGTGCACTGTCTGTCGAGTCGTGAGATGATTGCTAAACGCATTTCCTAGCCCATGTTCTATGCGTGTTTTACGTGGTGTGTGTGTGTGTGTTGTGTGTGTGTGTATTTGTGACTCAGATTTGTTTGCCTTGCCTTGCAGAAATATTGTCCTCGACTTTTCTCTATTTACGTTTAATTTTTTTGTTCTGTTTTTCCGCCTCAACATTTTCGTTTTCTTTGTTTTCGTTTTGTTTTTGTTACCCCTTTTGATTTTGTTGTCCGCCTGCGCTTATGCAATGCTTTTTGGCACGTTCCGCAATGCCAGAAACGTGCTGGAAGCTGCCCATGTGTGTGTGTGTGCCGTGCCTTCGTGTGGCATGCTGCAGCTGACTGTACGGCACTTGCACTAATGAAAAACTCTGACGGTTGCGGCACTGGCTTCAACTACTCTTTGCCCTGACCGACACTTTAGCGCAAAGTTCTGCCAAACCGAAAATGGTCCACAATTCCCTAGAGATTTACGGACAGGTATGGCAGGGGGTTTTGGTGGGTGTTCGGGTGACAATCTCCATTTGTTATCTATGGATAGATTGCTAATGAAGCCTCTCGTGTGCACGGTATAATAAATAGAGCGAAGACGTTGTACCCATCAGCACTTTATGGCTCTTGCCTCCTCTCTGTCGCATAAAATCTTCTTCTTCCCACCCGAAACTTAGGTTCAAGGTCACGACATTTTTCGTGTGAAGGAGCATCGTCGAGCATATTGATGTCATTATCCTACCTTAAGCAGCGCCAGCAGCCTAGAACATTTTTGGTATTTGTGTCTTTTTCTTGGGGTGCCCGTTGCCGCCTCCACCCCCCCACTCTTGATATGCAACAGACAGACAGTGTTGATGACACGCATCGGTGGCATATGCCACAAGCTGCTTCTAGTTGCCATTCCAACATGCTACGCACACTCGCACACTCGCAATCTCGCCATCCCCTGCCCAAAAACAAAATCCCCTAACAAACATTGCCAGCATGATGTCGTTCTCGTCGTCGTTGTCGTTGTCAATGTCGTGTTGTTGCCTCGTTGTTGCTGCTGCTGCTGCTGCTGATGTTGTCGCCGCGGTTTTTCCTAGAGCACCCCTCTGTATTACCCCTGCCCGCCCCACGCCACCAACTGTTGTGTCTGCTGTGATTTCTTGCCAACTGATTTTGTGATTTTCGCAGGAGCGCGTCCCGCCACCACTTGGGTGGTGCCACAGTGCCACAGTGGGGGAAGCTGGGTGGGAGAGAGTCTGCTCATTAAATACGCTTTGTCAATCGCTGCGCCCTGCCACTGCTTATCTGATTGGACCCCAGACAATGTTCGCCCGCTCTGCTGAACCATCGCCAAACATGTGTCCGCCTGGTACGCGTAGATCCCAACGTAATTAGCTTCGTGATCTTTAAATTTGTCTGCACTATAAACGCCATATGGCTGTGGTGGGTTGAAAATCTGCTGTGTGCTCCCCTGCTCTGTATATACATATTTTTTTTTTTTTAAATATTCTTGCGTACAAAATCTGACATGGGGAAACACCCGCAAAAACCTCACTCTCCTCTTGGAATTTCTCGCATAATTGTTATGTTGATTGCAAGTTTCCAGGGAGGCAGAGGGAGAGAGAGAGAGAGAGTGGGAGTGTGGGAGAATGCGACCAGAGCTGAGCAAAGTAAATTCCCCAATTGCTTGCTAAACAACGTTGTTGAGCGGCCCCAGCCAGAGGACACAGCTCCGTGTTGGCTCTGGGATGGGAATAGGAAGAAGGAGCTTTGGTATGGTGATAGCAGAGAGCTCTGCTCTCTGGCTTGGGCCCAGGAGGCATCCACAATGGCCGTTCGGGGGGTGTTGCCGCACTCGAGACGCACTTTTGACATGCAAATTGTATGCAATTTTATTTTTTTTTAGCTGTTTGCGATGCATACATCACAACATGTTGCCCCAAACCCTCTAATGATGATTATACTGTGTTTGTTGTTGTTGTTTTTTGTTGTTGTTGAAATTTCATGTTTTTCAACACTCACTGCAATCGCTCCGCCCCAGCCGACGACCCTCCTCCCGCTGCAATTGCAATTAATATAATTTCTGTTTTCGTACGCATAAATTTAAAAACATTTTTGCCGCTCTTGTCGTTTAAGCCTGGTGGGCCCCCTGCGTGACTTTTAACGAGCGCTCACGAAGCTCGAAGCCATTTTGTACCGCAATTTGAGTTGCAATTTTTCACACTTGAC